AAAAAGGGGTAAAAATAGGTATTTAACGTAGAATTAAATTTTTAAAGGGAATTTTTTAACGGTAATTTAAAGAATGTGCATGTATATTACTTCTAAAATTAAAAATGAAGGAAATGAATCATCTACTTTTGCTAGCAACACTTCTCTAAATTTTTTTGCCCATTTTGGCCAGACAATCTTTTAAGGAAAAGCCACGTACTCTGTTTCTCAAAATAAATAGATCTGTTCTCACTTGTTCCCAAATGAACCCTTAATGGGATTTTGAACCATTCAAATGAAGCTTTAACTGAAATTGTCCCAACACAAGGTTCAGAAACTCATCTTGGCTTTAACTGATATTGTCCCAACACAAGGTTCAGAAACTCATCTTGGGCATGAGACTGGGTTCTGCCTGGGCGAGTCACTTGGGTGACCCTTAAGACATCACTTGATTAGTGAGAAAGGGTCCAAGAATGAAAAAAATACTAATTAAAAATTTGTTGAAAATAAAAATATTAAAAAAAAAGAAGTAAACTATAAATAAGATGGAAAAAAAGTATGAAAGATGGATTTAGAAATAATAGATATATAATTGCAACATTTCACAAAATAGAAAAATATAAAAAATGCATATAATAAGAAAAGCTCAGAAATCATCATCAAAAAACTAAAAATATGATTTAAAATATTTCTACATTAATTTCATAAAAATATAAATTTTTATAGGACTTTTTAGGTCTCCTTTTTAATCTTTTTACCGAAACCGTGTACCGAGTGAGACTAAACTGAGTTTACAAACCTTGCCTTGCGTACCTTAACAAACACTTTGACCAAAAATCAGAAGTCATATACCACGTTACACCGCAACAATGGCAAGAAATTAAAAATAAAGACAAGGTGAGGCCTACATTTTGTCCTAAACAACAGATTAATGATATAGTTGACATTCTAACGATCTTCTAAATCTTAGTTTTTTAACGCTGGCATCTGCTAGCCCATTAGGTTGAATATTGAGTTTCAGATTCAAACTGAAATAGTAACTCTGAATTACAAAAAAGATTGCCGGATATTTTGGAACTTTGTATTGATCCGGATTGATTGGATCCACAATTTGGATAAGTGAAAATTGCGTAATATAATGCACAATATACTAAAAAAATTAAAAAAGAACAAACAATGAAGATCAGTCAATTCCATGAGGCCTTTATGGCGCAATCACCTAACGCGGATCTCATAGTGGGCACTCGGGACCGGATTGTGGGTTTTGGAAATACTGGCTCCCTACTTTTGGGTTTTACTGAAGATCCCACATGCATCATGTCACATCAACGGGACGTCCATCAATGGGCAGAAGAACTATGGAGCTAAACAACGCGTCGTGGATGGATTGGTTCCCCCAATCAAAGGCGGAGATGGCGTTCCTACTAATCTACGGCGGAAAGCCTATGGCCCACCTATGCCTTCGATCAGCATGATCTCATCCTAGGACTAGCATAGTCGCATGCTTAAAACCTAGCTATTCCTGATCGGATTGCCAATTCGGATCGTAAATCGATCTGGACTGAAATGCTTATGCGAAGCTACGGGTCCCAACATAAAAACCACTATTTTTATACTTTTCTCAAGTTTATTTAATGATTTTTTAGGTCCTAAATTCCTACCTCGTGAACCCATATTTTTATTGTAATTTTTTTTTCTAATTTAAATATTTTTCTGCATCCACTTCGGACTAATCCAAATCACTTATCTAACAATATAAAAACGGATTTCGAAGTGAATGATCCACCCCGCATCTCAAGGTTTTGAAACACCAATTGGGACCAGAATTATACAAGATAAAAGAAACCTAACAACGTTTCCCGGATATATTACCTTCAATTCCTTTTACTAAATCTTACAACAATTATTTACATAAAATATTTAGAGTTTAAACTTTTAACGGTTGTCGTCTAGGGAATGCCTTTTTGCGCAATAGGTTGGGATCTGGGTTGGGTCGACGAGACCTAGAGGTGGCAACAAGTCAGCCTAGCCTAGGCCAACCATGGCCCTAGTCCCTACAGGGCTGGTTTAAGCCCGACCAAGGCTGAAGCCTTCAAACTAAGACGGGACAGGTCAGGATGGGCCAATCAAAACAGGGCCGTGGCCCTATAGTGGACATGCCCTAGGGCTTGCCCAGCACTATCCTTGGGTTGTGGTGGTCCAACCCTTGGGCAAATGGTCCAGATCCTATTTTTTAGGCTCCAATGGGTCTAGGTCAACCGGCCAATAGCTCAAACTTTAGTAACTTGGCCTTGGTTCGTTGCCAAGGTATCCAACTCACATTTTTTAGAAACTCTCCAAAAGTACATATTTTTTGAGAAATAATTTATATGTAATTAAAAAGAATTTTCTTTGTATTTATTTTGGTTGTGATGATTTGTATAGGTTTTATTATATGCTCTAAATTTATTTTTTACTTTCAATGAAGGGCTAGTTTGCATAGATCAGAAGCTCTAAACAAACAAATTAGAGCTCACCTTTAAATAGTGTCAAAAAATGTGGTTTCAATACTGGAAGTCTTTGTAATAGCTCTAAAATATATTTTTATCTTCAATTGTAAAATTTAAAGCTTTAAAAATAATGCAGATCTCGCAGATTTAAAAAAACTTGAAAATTTTGAAAATCTTGAAAATTGATGGTCAAAAAATGCATTCTATGATGCACTATTTCCAAAACTTGAAATCTATTTTTCTCTCATGTCGATGCATCTTGATGTCGACATGATCAATTTGAAGATATTGAAGCGTCAAAACAATCTCTTTTACTAAAATTTTTGAAGTGGACTCTAATGTGATAGTTTAGAGCGTCGGCTCTTTATAAAACTTTCACTTCAATAAATTATCTTCCTCTTTGTTATTTTGAGTTATTTTAACTTTATTTTATTTTATTTTAAATTTTGGACCTGGACCATGAAGGCTCGTCCAAGTTACTCGGCAGTGGCTGGGGCCAGGGCGGAGTCCGAGGCCTATTGTAAGTTTCATAACATTGCTTGGACATAATTACCAGGTCCATTGACGCGCTCCATTGGCAGGCTGAGGAAGCATGTATCATCGACAATTTGATCTATAATTGTTTATATAAATTAATTTAGATAATTTATCTTTTATAATATGAAGAAATAACTTAAAATCAAAACTGTATACCGAAAAATAAACAAGCAAAAAAGGGACGAGCTCAATGTCGGAAAAATGATTGATTTCAAAATATGGGCAGAAATTCAAAAGAAAACGGAAATAGAATAGAGCTGCAACTCAAGTTTTACCGGTGATTGAAAGATCAGGTGAAATAGTTTCTCCTCGGCGGAGTTACTCGGGCCTGGGCCCTTGCCCAGTCCGAGTTGTTTGTCTAAATTAGGGATATTAAAAAAAAATTGAAAGAAATTCTAAAAAAATAAGGAATTCATTTGAGATATTTTTTTTTATATTTTTTATTATTTTGGAAAATATTAAAATATTTTTTTGCTATAATTTTTATATTTTATCATCTTATTTTTATTATTTAAAAAATACTCCCATTTTTTTTCTACCTTTTTAACATCATTTGGAATTGTTTTGCTTAATCTTTACTTTAAACATAAAATTCCTAAACATTTTTTAATTTTTTCTAATTTTTATATTTTTTGGACTTTTTTTTGCTGATATGGTACTTGAGCTAATCGGGCCAAGTTACTTGAAATCGGCCCGAGTAATCAGCTCGGGCAAGGACCGATTACTTGTTCGAGTCGCACTTTCTAAAATTTGAGTTTTACAGCTGACTTCTCCATCCTTTATATATCCTAATTATTTTTGAAGTGACCTGAAGACCTACTATGGGAGTCCAGCGGTTTGTTCCGGTAATTCGAGAGAATCTCGGGTTAACACACTAATTGGTTTTGCATCAACCTGAGTGGCGTCCATAGTTACCAAGTTGGGGATTATCAATAAATGGGCTCATCATGAAATTGGAAACTAATCGTTTTTATTTTAAAAAATCGGATAAAAAAATCGGGTAATAAATATAGATAGGCAAAAATACTTAATGTAAAGAGATCGCAAATATATCGGACTAGACTAAAAAAATCAGAAATTTTAAATCTCTCTCTCTCTCTTTCTATATATATCTATATATATATATATCACTCAATATAAAAATAACCTTCCTATAAATATAAATTTCAAATATTCAATGTGATATATCTCTAAACCATAAGATGATTATGTATTCTATTCGTCAAGATAAGTATTGGGTAGGTGAATTCAATTTTTATTGTTCTAGAAAGACATTGTCTACTCCATACTTGCTAACTATGGTCTACCCATTACCACCCGACAAAATACGTACTGTATCCATAGCAGAGAACTAGAGAAAGTTTTAGGAGAATAGAAATAAAAATAGAAATAAAAATTTCATAAAACATAAACAGATATTTAACTTTCAAGAAAAAAAAAATAGAGAATATTTTTTGAAACGATTTTTTTAAATTTTGAAAAAGCCTCATTTTAAGCTTCTTCCTGGAAAAATCGCTTATTTTTATTGATTTATTAAAAAATTCACAAATTAAATTGTTTTTTAAAAAACTGCCCCTTTTTTAAAAAAGTCGTCATTAAATCGGCGACTTGCTAACTATGGTCTACCCATAACCACCAGACAAAATACGCACCATATCCATAGCAGAGAACCAGAGAAAGTTTCAGGAGAATAGAAATAAAAATAGAAATAGAAATTTCCTAAAACAAAAAAAGATACTGTACTTTCAAAAACAAAAAAAATAGAGAATATTTTTTGAAGTGATTTTTTTAAATTTTGAAAAAGCCGCATTTTAAGCTTCTTCCCAAAAAAATCGCTTATTTTTACCGATTTATTAAAAAATTCACAAATTAAATTGTTTTTTAAAAAACTGCTCCTTTTTGAAAATTCACAATGGCTGTGTGACAGTTCAGCTTTGAGTTGTACCCTTCTGGTCTAAAAAAAAAAAACAAGAAGAAAATGGTATAGAGATGTACCAGTTGTATTTGAACTTGATGCAGAAGGAGATGCAGCAGGCCACCCGGTAGCGGCGACCACCCAGTATCTCATGATGCAACTCTCGCCGAGCATTTGCACCCATGAGCTTCGACTGCAGCACTTAAACATCTGTTCAATTCCATGTCGAAGGCACTCACTACAACCTTGGCTGCTAAGGTCCCTGGTACACTGAACCCAACCACTCAGTGTCTGATGCCCCGCGACCGGAACCCCCATCTGAATTGCAAACAACGATGGATCACTTGTGGCCCTTTCAACTAGTCCAAACAAGAGACCGCTTAGCGTCCTGTTGACGGCCATTAGCTCAGAATAATTCGCTCCGCTCTGGAAAAAGTTTAAGTCTCTCATCTCCACCTTCCCGAAGAAGTCCTCCTCTGAGTAGCGGAGGAGGCAAAACTGGTACCAGATGACACCCTGTGTCTTGTAGGCACAGAGGGGTTGGATGGATAGGGCTGCATCAATCACACATCGCGTGCATCGCTCATTCCTTTCGAACCCACCGCCGCACAGGACGAGGCCGTAGACCTTGTCGGAGCCCTCCCCGACGGAGGAATTAGCAAAGCCACCTGGGGTTGGTGTGTTGTTTCTGAAATCATTCAGCAGTTGTCTGAGATTGTTGTCATATGGAGTCCCAGGGCTGTAACTTCTTGTGCCTGTGCAGTTGTGGTATGGATATTGTTGGGCTATGACAGGTTCAGGCAATAGAAAGGTGAAGGATAATATTGTTAAGAGATGGAGAAAAAGGAGAGAAGCCATTTGCCACACTTTAATTTTATTTAGGTCTTCAATATATTTAGCCTTTTGTATGTTAGTAGTTTTAAGGGCTGCCTGCAATTGCCATGACGGACACGCAAGGCAGCTTGGCATTGGACGGTGGAGATGGCGTGGGAGAGGACTAAAAGCGTTGGAATGTTCCTTTTATGTGTGGGTCGCCGTGATCTTCCTATTAAATTCAGAGCATCAATAGTGTCAATTGACTTTAGATGGACTTTGAAATTTCTTTTTTTTGTTCTTTATTTTTATTATTATTATTATTATTATTTTTTCCGGGGTAAACGTTTGGGTTGCAACTTGAATCACCGGCCTCTTTCCCCTGCATACTTGCCTCTTTCCCCTGCATACTTATTGACATGATATCTTGTGTGTTTCGGATATGTAAATTGAAGTCCACTTTCGCTGATACACTAATCTTTTACAAATATTTTTAGGGATTGTATAGAATGAGATCATTTACTTTTGAAACATGGCGGTCACGATTACTTACAATCATCCAATGTGAAATATGATAGCTTGGGTATGTCACATAGTTTGAGAAAATTTCTTTTAAACTTTAAACTTAGTTAATGAAATAAATGTAGCCATGCAATTTCACATCCAATGGTCAAGATTTAGTGTGACCACATTGTATTAAAGTAAATGGTCTCATTATATACTTTCCCATATTATGTCAAAATTAAAAATGACCACACTGCCCCTATGCAACTCTTTGGGGTACTTTGTCATCTTGTTTTTGAAAATTATTTTTAATATTTTATTTAGGTGTGTTTTGTTAGATATATGCATGTCCCTAATTTCAAATGGATCCTATTTAAGAAAATATTAAAATTCAAATATTATTAGACAACTATGACCATATGATGATTATGCATAGTGACGAGTCATTAGCAAAATCCTGTAAAAATTCACTTAAGAGTATTCCATGCAACGGTTTTATTGTAATATAATGAAACCATCTTTGATGCAACAGTTTTATTGTAATATAATGAAACTATGGTAAGGTCATTCATTTCTTCTCATCCTAAGGAGTAATTATAAGAAAATAATTTTTTTTAAAAAAAAACACCTTAAAAAGTGGGGTTTTAGCTAAATTAATATGGGCCGTCGATCTAAGCCCCATAAGGATTTTTTTTCCTTCTCAAATTTTTTTAGAGGTCTTTATTATTATTAGATGAAAAATGTTAAAAAAGAAAATGTTGATTTTAAGTTTGGAAAAGGCCTACATCTTGAAATTTACCAAATGGATGGTTTAGATTCATTATTACAGGTACAAATTGATTTTTACTTTTCTAGACATATTGATTATTGTGATGAAGAGAGGGTATATGCAACTTTTGGGGTTATACTTATGCCCCAAACATGATTTTCTAGAAGTGTGGTTTTATTATATATTACAGTGACTAGTAACATATATATATATATATATATATATATATATATATATAGAGAGAGAGAGAGCCTATGCTATAAACAATCAAATTACAGCTTACTGTTATATGTCATTTCTTACGTACTTCTATTCCTGAGAGGCATAAGGAGAGATTCAGTAACAACCTAGTTCTGTCGGTATTCGAGACACTGCCAGACCATGTGAACACTGCAAAATAAGCCTAAAACTGGGCAACCTATCGAAAGGTACTGTACGGGCTTCAAAAGGTATGAAAAGGGTAGTTTAGGATGCCCTAAGGACGCTCACAATGTTTCGTCACATTCCAATAAGTTTTGATATGATTAGGACGAAACTCAGTTCTCAAATCAAGTTTCGCTAAAAATGACCTTATAACTACAACCCTATTTTCGGGGCATCAAAACAGTAACAAACCACCGCCATTAGATTCGACACATCAAAAACCTCCCAGGGACTAAATTTGGGCTCAATCGGACCTTCCAGGACTATTCTAAGGCCAACTTACCATAAAAAAGGTAAGTTTTACACTTTTGCGGTGCAGCCTCAGTGATCCAGTTTGCATTTATGGAAACTGTGTTTTTCCATTTTCGGATGATTTTCAAATGCTCATAACTTGCTCGTTTGCGATCAGAATAAATTCAAATTTGGACATAATCATAGTCTCGACGACCCGATCATTTGACATACGGCACGTGTCCTGACATGGCTCGAGACGAGATAATTTTAAGAGAGAAGATGATTCCAAAACCATAAAAATCAGAATTTTAAGCAAGAATACATCTCATGCTTCTTGAAGTCATAACTTGAGATCCTTGTGTTGGTTCATCGCAAATTGGGTTCGTTGTGACCTTTTGCGAAGGGCAACTGTCACACCCCAAGAATTTACAGTACTGATATTCCTGAGATGTGATAGTCAAAACATATATATATTTCTTGATAGGACAAATTTACAGTGGCGAATTCTCACAAGGTAACAAAAGAAAGTTAGCACAACAACAATATCTTCCAAGGTTGATCCCGACTAGTACTCAAAATGAATCCGCATTTATCCTGAAAAAAATGTTTACCATAATTTGATGAGTTTGGCTACTCAGTAAGTGATCATCATAATCTTAAAAATAATCATGATTGAAAGATATCAATATTTTAAAAAAGAAAATCTATTAACAGGAATGCATTAACAATTTCACTTTAAAAAAATGCATAATTAAGTATGATCCGAATAATTGAAATACATATCACATTTTAGCATCAATGCATAATTAAAAAGAATTCACAAAATACCCTATTGGCATCCCAAGTAGGTCACCTATATACCCCATCAGCGTCCTGATAGGTCCACTTAATCCCTATCGGCGTCCCAGATAGGTCCACTTAATCCATGCAGGTCCACTTATACCTCACCGGCGTACCGGATATGTCCACTTAATTCCTACCGGCATCCCCGATAGGTTCACTTATACCTCACTGGCGAACCGGATGAGTCCACTTGCATACTTAAAGTATTTCTAAATCTCTTTAAATATTTGAAAGCAGCAATATCATGTACTCAACGTATCACTGAAATCATTAATATAAATCTCACTGAAACCATTAATAACATTCACTTTCAATAACATTTCAAAAATAACCAATCAATTATTTTGGGCTCAAATTTAG